TTACAAGAGCTTTAATTCAAACACTGGCTTTCCAAAGATAAATTGAACTGCGGAAAACCTGCTCACTGCCTCCTTTGCAGTGTTAATGTGTCACATGCTACAATAAACAAAATTTGAGGAGGTACGCTGAAACTTAAACCCATAAACATAATGTTGCTATAAAACATATATATTTCAGTAGAATGCCAGCAGTTGATTCAAGCCATTTCTAAGTATTTTTGCAACTGTTTAAAAAGATTCGTTAATTTTCAAGATTCTCACATTTTTATCAAATTTTGACTACAAAAATTTTTAAAATAGCTAACACCAGATGGCTCTTTCTTCGCAACTGTACTCATCGCCTTCTTGATAATTTGCCAGCTCTAAAGTTTTTCTTCTTTCTCGAATGTCGTAAGAGTCCACCTAACAGTGGTAATGATAAAAAAAAGAACTTTCCACAGTTTATAAGCAATCCGTTACATGACAATAAGGTAATAGCGTATTTAGAATTTTCAAACTACATTTTAATACACTTTAACAAGTTTCATGTCACTTTTCAAACAAAAAGCACTATTATTTACAAGGTCAGTACCTCATGCTCAGAGATTTAAGCGTCAATCAGTTTAAATTTTTTTAATGCCACTGCTGTAAAAAAGATCGCCAAAGATAGTAATAATAACGTAAATGATGAAGATTATCAGCTATTGAAAAATGTAGATGTTGGTAATAAATGTGCTTCGATTTTGCAAAATCTTCCAAAAACAGATGAGTTAGAAATTTCAGAAAATTGTTCAAAATCTTACGCAACAACATTAACAGAAATTGAAAAACCTGTTTTCAAAAACGCTGATGTTTTACTATCACTTAATTTTCTACAACTTGTAAATGCTTTCAGCAACAAGTTTTGCAGTAAGAATCTGAACGTAGTACAAGATCTTAAAAATTTTTTTCCGTACAGTGATGTCAACTATGAATTAATAAAAAAAAAAATCGAGTTGTTGCCGTCAAATGATGTTAACGATAAAGCTGAATTGTGTCTGTTAAAAGTTGATGTATTTTGGAATAGAATTGTTAATAAGCGTTCTGAAAACGGTAATGTATTATAATTAAATTTGAAAATATTGGTCTTATCTGTTTTTAATTTGTCACACTCTGATGCTGAGCCAAAGAAAGTTTTTTTTGTTATTTTTGATGAGAAGCATGAAGAAAAATAAATAAAATGAAAATGGATGTATTGGATTCAATTTGTTTCATTTGGTCTTGTTTTTCCGCCCGTGGTAAAAATGCATCAAATTTTCTGGCCACAAAAAATCATATTGATTTAATTGATTTAACAATGTATAAACATAAAGTCAATATCACTCAAAAACATGAACTTACTAGTAAATTATCTTGTTAATATTTTAACTCCCTTCGATTATTTATATTTTATGTTTGCTTTTCAAGCACAGAAAATTGAGAATTATGTTTATTGATGAAGTATAACGAACGTTCTCATTAACTCTTTACGTATAGTTATAAGGCTTGAATAATTTAATTATAAATCTTAACTGTCTGAATCAATAATGTAAGAATAAGTTTATTGTACAATCTAGTAAAGCTGACTATTTTTTATACTTTGGTATATACGTCATGATTTCATCTGTTGCATATAACGTTTTTTTTTTTGCCATTAACTGAGTACTCTATGAATTGATACAGACACAATAACGACTGGACTAGGCCTACGTGGATTATCACTCGAAGGAAAAATTAAGAGCTATATAAGTCGTCTAATCCTAAACTATTCTTCAAGTCTTAATTCAATATCTCGTTTACTACGTTTTAACTTTCTAGTCATCTATATATAATTATAAGTTGGGTTTTCCTTCCTGACGCTATAACTCCAGAACGCACGAACCGATTTCCACGGTTTTGCATTCGTTGGAAAGGTCTCGGGCTCCATGAGGCTTATAGCAAAGAAAATTCAGGAAAAGTTTTAACAGAAAAGTGGGAAAATCTTTTTTTACATACAGTGCCATCTCTGATACATAGCATGTACAACACGCCAATATTTTAAGTAGATGGCGCCAGTGCGTGATACATTGTTTGACAGCTACTCATTGTTCTCTGCTCAGTTGATTTCATGTGACAAACCGGTATTGTGTTCACGGTGAAATTGTGAAAAAAAAGTAAAAATAATAAGTTATTTGTTTCCCAAAATTTCAATGGGAAATCGTCAAATCAATCACGTGTATTGTGCAAATTTTTATTCAATTTCAACAGCAGGCATGTGTCTCTAAGGTGGTAAGTTGAACTGTGTAAATTATGTGGATCGTGCATTTGAGGTTAAATTCACCACTCTGTTCATAGTCCAAAATGCCTAGAGGATGACGTGTGAACATCAGCTGCCGCACAAGACATGCAAGCCAGCAACAAGTGCATTTACAGAACTTAAGCGAAGGAAGACAAAGTATAATAAGAGAAAATGTCCGATTGAGACAACGCATGGGCACACGAAGATCATTGGCATCATACAATCGCTTGGCATTGCATTATGATCCCACTGCGAACTACAGTGATGATGAAAATTTAGATATTGGACCAATGACGACTATATGTCGATATTGCAATGCGTTAAAGTTCAAAAGAGAAACGGCCGGATTGTGCTGTACAAGTAGAAAAGTCAAAGTGGATCCATTACTTACACCACCACAGCCACTGAAACCATTGTTCAATGGAAGTGATCCCGATTCCAGCCATTTTCTTCAACACATCCTTGAATACAATAACTACTTTCGCATGACTTTTTTTGCAGCTAATATCATTCGAGAAGGCGGCTTCATGCCAACTTGCAAGGTCAAAGATACAACACACATAACCAATCACTCACATTAACACAATAAATTGCAACACATAACTACATACACACCACACACTACACTACACCATCACATGATCAGAAGTTACACCGTATTCTTCAACAAATGATTGTTTGCAATTACAGACACAAGGACAAATATATCATTTGCATGGTTCAATGGTGCCAACACCAGATGAACCGTATCAATTTCTGCAAATATATTTCATTTCGTTGATGGTGGATTAGCTAAATGTGCTATGCAATATACAGGGAACACAACAGTTGAAGAGACGAATTATTAAACAGTTGCAAGCATTTTTTCACGCGAATAATGTTGTGGTTAATATGTTCAAAACAGCATTGAAACGAATGCCATCGGATACGCACAAATTTGTCATAAGAGCGGATTGTACCCCAACAGGTGAACATGTGCGAAGATTTAATGCACCCACCGTTAATGATGTTGCTGCAATTATTGTTGGCGATCCAACTAAATCGCGAGACATTGTCGTTCAGCGAAGAAGCAATATCATGCATCGTGTAAACGAGACAAATCGTTTGTACAATGCGTTATCCAATGTACAATATCCAATCATTTATTGGCAAGGGCAAGACGAATACGACATCACGTTGAAGATGGTCGATCCAATTATAGGTACAATATTCACACACTAATTATTGCTATCATTGCTATTATTGGTTTTCATTAACAATTTATTTAATATTGCATTTTCAGGCGTATCAACGAATAAAAATCTAAGCGCAACGAATTACTATGCGTATCGTATGATGATTCGTACACATGAAGAGAATGTCATTCTGAAGTACCGTCGTCTATTTCAGCAATTCGCTATCGACATTGTTCAAGACGTGTGCGATAGCACACACTATGCTCGGATAGAGTGATTGAAAAGACACAATAATACACAATAAAATTAAACAGCATAAAAATAACAACTTTTAATGTCACTCAAAGGCCAAGAAATCACAGTTAATATTTACAAAAATTGTAAAGTCAAAATTATACAGGAAAAAATAAATACTGTCTATAGTCTTAAGGCAACGAACTATTGAAATATATAAAGGCGAAGAATGTAGAAAGAAGATTCAAGTTGAATAACACAATACGTAAACACGCACTGGCCTTAAGCTAGCAAGAGAGTTTGAAAGTTACACGAAATAAATGTGAAAATGATATCACTGATATAATATAACTGATTGAAATATTGATTAACTAAGAACTACTGTCTGTAGAAATGCACAATTACTGTCTGTGGAGATACACAAGAGTTTCACTTAGTCTTGCTGTTGATAATCACTGGTAGTTCGATGAGATTAACTATTTAAGCTGGTCTGCAGATTATGCAGTAAGCAACTTAAACAAAGCACTTAGTGCACTGCACTGCACAGCTGAGTTTTGTCCACTGTATTGAGAGTTAATCAGAAGATTTACACTAGCATTTAAGGTGTTGTATGCACCTTTGAATGCTAGAGTTTGGCAACGTAAATTAAGAGAGTCCATCTTCGACGAGATCTGAGTATAATCTGGCGCTTACAGTATACAAATCTTGCCGAGTGAATACGCACACACACACCTGCAGCGTGCCAAATCGACCAAGCGCACACGCACAGAGCCTTGAGCCGACAGAGACTACAAGTGTACACAATGTACACAAAATCCGGGCCTACTGTCGGTCGCTCTCATTTCCAACATTCCGCCCGCCGTCAGTCAACGGCTGACAACAGCCGTAGACCGGCAGTGGCACCAACTTGTGAATTAGTCTCTTGAGCGCTCCCGATGAGTCACCACTCTAACCAGGCTATCCTTGCCTGGGTGGACATTGACGACTCTGGCCAGCGGCCACTTTCCTGGTGGTAGAGTCTCACTAGTAATAAGCACCATTGAGCCTGTCTTGATGTCATGAGCTGGAGTATGCCACTTGGAAATTGAGTTTAATCTAAGCAAGTACTGTGTAGACCACTGCTTCCAAAACCTCTGTTTTTTAGCTTGGATCAGCTGCCAGCGAGTGAGCCTTGCTAGAGGTCAATTCAACAAGCACGGCTCTGGTGGTAAGTTTAGCGCCGATCCGACTAAGAAGTGTCCTGGAGTGAGCGTGTCTTAATCCTCTGGATCATTGGTAAGTGGTTCTAGTGGTCAAGAGTTAAGAATTGCTTCAATTTAAGTGAGCAACGTCGTGATCTCTTCAAGCGTGTAAAGAGTCTCTCCCATAGTCCGATGGAGATGGTGTTTCATCGACTTCACTACTGCCTCCCATTTTCCTTCCATGTGAGGAGCAGCTGGAGGGTTGAAGTGCCATGACGTTCTATCTTGGGCGAGCATGGCTGATAGATGAGAATTTTGACTGATTGCTTCTGAGTATAACTGTTGAAGAGCCCTGTCTGCACCAGCGAAGTTCGTCCCACAATCAGAATACAACTTAAATGGACGTCCCCGACGTGAGACAAATCGCCAATACGCTGACAAGAATCCTTCGGTAGAGTAATCTGTCACTGCTTTGAGATGCACAGCAGAGGTTAAAAAACACACGAACACACATATCCAACCCTTGTATGTCTTCGACCCTCTGCCGCGCCAAGATTTGAGATGTATTGGACCTGCGTAGTCGATACCTGTATGAGCAAACGGTCTGGAGGAAGTCACCCTGGCCTTGGGTAACTGTCCCATGAGTTGTTGTGCTCTTTGTGCCCGGTACCTGGCACATTTGACACAGTAGAGGATTCTGGATCGGATGGGGGCCCTTCCACTGATTATCCCAAACTCTTGATGAGTTTTGCTAAGAGTGAGCTGAGTTCCTTCATGTAGAGTTTGCCGATGAGCCTGATCGATAACCAAACTGGTGAATTGAGCTTGACGAGGAAGTAGGGCAGGATGTTTTGCATCAGGTCTGAGCTTGGCATTCATGAGTCTGCCTCCCACACGCAGTATGCCAGCATCATCAGTATATGCCATCAACCGGTGGAAAACATGGCCCTTTGGTAGAGAACCTGCTTTGAGCATCTTGATTTCCTCCTTGAAACATTCCTGTTGAGTTAATCTGATCAGTAAGAGCTTAGCTTGAGTGATGAGTTCTGCAGTGACAGCTACGGATGATTTCAGGTGTGTGTGTAAGGCTTTGAACTTGGCACAAGCAAGTAAGAGGGTGGCTGTGATAAGATAGAGTTTGTGCAATGTGGAGCTGGACTGAGTAAGCCTTAGTAGGAACTACGAGTCCGAGATTGATGACACCAATACGCATCAGCAAAGCCATGGAGTTCCACCGCAGAAGAAGGATGTGTTCCAAGCTATCTAGGAACCGTCACTCCGAAGAGTTTGGCTAGATCATCTCGTATTTGTAGCCATCTCTGAGCGAGAGCATCTGGTATGGGTGTATCCCATGTAATTTTAAGTAGCCACAATTTCTGAATGATGAGTTTGGCTGCAACAATCACTGGAGCAACTATTCCAAGAGGATCGAGGATTTGAGATATTTCTGAAAGAATTTTTCTTGTCGTTGGAGTTTGACTGAGAGACTTGAGTGTGCACTGAAAGGTGAGATTGTCTGAAAGTGGTACTTCAGCATGACAGTCATCGAGAAAGAGTGCTGATTCTTCACTGGAGTTTGAGTAACTGAATCCTGGCGAATCCTTAGTCAGGGGCAATCCGCCCGCCATGCACAGCTCCTTGAGTTGGAGGGCCTGCTCGTTCAACTTATCTGGAGTCTCCGCTCCACCAAAAATATCGTCCACATATCTGCCGCTGGTGAAAATCCGGGCCGCCTGGGGGTAACGGTGCCCTTCATCCTTCACCAGCTGCAGCAGGGAGCGTGTGGCCAGAAATGGAGCAGGCTTCGTCCTGTAGGTCACTGTGGTGAGCTGGAAGTGAGCTTCCTTGTGAGTTTTGCTATGCCACATGATTTGCTGAAGATCCCAATTGTCTGGATGAACCTTGATCTGACGATACATCTTGGAGATGTCTGCAGAGAAAGTCCATTTGAATGTGCGTAACCAGAAGAGTATATCTGTTACGTTTGGCAGTAGATTAGGTCCCGTGTGAGTTATGCTGTTGAGTGAATGTCCTGAGGAAGTAAGGGCTGATCCATTGAAAACCACCCTGATTTTGGCGTTGTCTCCATCTTCCTTCAATACGCCGTGATGAGGCAGATAAAAATGAGGCTTGATGTTGAGCTTATCTGCAGGCACCAGTCGCATATGGCCAAGACTCAAATATTCATTCATAAAATTTGTGTAGAGCTTGTCGTACTTATCGTCTGTTTTGAACCTGGCCCCCGTGCGATCGAAGCATTTACGAGCACGATTAACTGAGTTGCCCAGCAGAGATAGAGATTGCTTCAGTAGAAGTTTCACCACGTATCTTCTGGTGCTATCCCGGGAGTGAGTTCGCACGAAGTGTTCCTCACACTCCTGTTCCTCTGGTGTAAGCTGCGAGCTTGACTTTGAAGGGACCTCTTCTTGAATCCAGAAGTTAATGAGTAATTCCTGGAGTTTATCTTCTATTTTTGAAACGATATGGTGAGTGTGACGAGTAATCTTTGTAACAGGCTGGTTAACGCAATCCGATAAAATCCAACCAAACAGTGTACGTTGAGCTATAGGTTCTGATAAAGAACCTCTGAGCAGATCTGAGGTGATTATAGCTGAATAGTAGTCAGTGCCAAGTAGCAAGTCTATGTCTTGTGGCAGATAGAAATGGGGGTCAGCTAACTCCAGAAACTCCGTATGCAGCCACGATCTTGTCTTAAATTGAAAAGATGGTAGTGGAGCTGTTACTCTAGGCAAAACGTGGAGCACCACATCGACGCTGGAGTCAGAATATAATGAAAACAATCTGAGTTCTACTTTATTAAGTGCTTTACTGACTACGTTGCCTTCAATACCCAGGATACAGATGTTGGACTTCGTGCGCATCAGCTGCAGACGCTTCACAGCATCTTCCGAAATATATGATAATTCTGAACCTTGATCGATCAGAAGCCTGAGATGATGATGTGCAGCTGGAGCACGTACCTGGGCTACTGCTGTTGGCAATAAGATAGATTAGTGACTAGATGTTTGGTTGGACGATGTGATCCTTGTTGAGTTTGACTTGATGTTGACTCTGGGATGAGTATTACTAGATGTGGAGTTTCGACGATGAGTTTGTCTGATGACTGCGCTGATTTCCTATTCTTGATGCTGAGTCGGCTGAGATGCCAACCTGCTGATCGGTTGCAACAACCGAGCGCCGTGAATCATGGTATGATGAGCCTTACCACAGGTTTGGCACGTCTTCGTGTTCATACACTTAGCAGCAGCATGGCGGCCCAAAAAGTTGAAGCACAAAGGCTTTTTATCCACGAATTGGTATCGTTGGTCAATGGAGAGGGCCGCGAATGCCGGACAGCTAGCAATAAAGTGTTGCTGGTTGCAGTACGTGCACGGGAACACTGGAGGAGCCGGTCTATCATCCTGCGACCGAGCCGAACTCCCAACCCGAATCTGCTGAGCGTTGCTGCCCGGTTGAGTGTTGCCGAGCCGTTAAGTTTGAACTGTATGAGCGTGCTGAGCTTTGCTCAGTTTGGATTGAGTCTTACTAGATGTGGATGAGTTATCTTGTCTCTTGTTTAACTGAGCATCAACCATCTCCAAGGCTTGGGCCCGCTCGATCAAAAACTCCTCCAAGGCTTCGCATGCCGGAAAGTCGGCTCTTGCAGGTGTCGATGTTTCCCAAGCCCTTTTGGTAGGTTGATCCAACGCTCGGAGCAGCTCATCAACGAACAAGGCATCCAGCACCTCTTGAGCAGAAACAAGGCAAGAAATAAGCTTGCGAAGCTTGCGACTCTCCGTTGCCAAATCCATCAGCGACCCAACGCTGCCAACACGCATCGGTGGAATGCGTCTCTTGGCCTGCAGCAGCTATGCGAGCACAAACCGGTTATTTTCATATCTTTCGAGCAGAGCATCCCAAGCGATCTTGAAGGATTCAGCAGTGATAGGGAGTCCCTCCATGAGCTTCGCTGGCTGGCCCGAGAGCGACGCTCGCAGGTAGTAAAGGAGCTCCAAATCGATGAGCCTCTCGTCTTCCATAATACTTGAGAAAAGATCTCGGAAACTCACCCATTCTGTGTAGTTGCCAGAGAATTGCGGAAGCTTAATCTCCGGGAGCTTGCCTCGTTGAGTGTGACTGAAAGTAGTTGATGCCGCTGTTGAGTTTGCCTGTGGATCCGGATGGGCAGCGAGCAGCCAGGTTATGAATCTCGTAGACCTCGAGTGTGCCTGCTGCGCGGCTCCCAACGCACTCTGACTGAAATACTCATTTCTGAGCAACACCGCCGGGCACGCATTTTCAATGAGAGCATGCTCACGCTTAAACTCCTCATGGAGCGCGACGCAGTCCTCTCTGAGCTGCATGGCCTCAGCGTGACTGCTCTCCGCAGTCGCCTCCTCAGCAGCTTTGTCACACTGGCTCAGGCAAATGATGCGCGCTCTCTGTGACTTAATTTTTGCGAGGAACCTGGCCAGAATCACATTTCCCGTCGAGCGCGTGCCGCGCCCCGGCAAGCCGTCAGTCACAGAAACCCGCTGGCCATCGATGATGGTAGTCGTAGCGACATCGTCACTCGCAGCCGCGGTTGCTGCATCGGCCCTTTTAGCAGCCTTTTTCATTGTGCACTGCCACCGGATCTCTCCCCAGTCACTCCGATCCAGCTCAAAGGACCAAAAATGTTCGAGTCGTGTGCGTTAGCACACACTAGGCTAGGATAGGGTGATTGGGAAGACACAATAAAACACAATAAAATTAAACAACATAAAAATAAGAACTTTTAATGTCACTCAAAGGCCAAGAAATCACAGTTAATAGTCACAAAAATAGTAAAGGTCAAAATTATGCAGGAGAAAATAAATACTGTCTATAGTCTTAACGCAAGAACTATTGAATTATGTAAAGGCAAAGAATGTAGAAACAAAAGAGTCAAGTTAAAACATAATGTGCAAACACGCACTGGCCTTGAGCTCGCAAGAAAGTTTGAAATTTACACGAAATAAATGTGAAAATGAAAGAACTGATATAGTATAACTGATTAAAATATTGATTAACTAAAAACCACTGTCTGTAAAATTGCACAATTACTGTCTGTGAAAAAAACACAAGAAATTCACTGAGTCTTGCTGTTGATAATCACTGGTAGTTCGATGAGATTAACTATTTAAGCTGGTTTGCAGATTATGCAGTGAGCAACTTAAACAAAGCACTAAGTGCACTGCTCTGCACAACTGAGTTTTGTCCACTGTATTGCGAGAGTTAATCAGAAGATTTACACTAGCAATTAAGGTGATGTATGCACCTTTGAATGCTAGAGTTTGGCAACGTAGATTAAGAGAGTCTTTCTTCGATGAGAGCTCAGTATAATCTTGCGCTTACAGTATACAAAGCTTGCCGCGTGAGTACGAACACTCACACACCTGCAGCACGCCAAGTCGACCAAGCGCACACGCACAGAGCGTTGAGCCGACAGAGACTACAAGTGTACACAATGTACACAAAAGCCGGGCCTACTGTCGGTCGCTCTTATTTCCAACAACAAGTCTGATTTTCTCTGATAATCTGCAAGAAACTAAACGGTTCATGCTACGACGCGGGTTTCATACTAACGCATATCAGACTAGTGAGTTGGCAAACTCAGCAGAGGGCGTGAAAGAGAGAGTCCTGTCAATGGGAGTTATTATAGTACATCTATATTCATGCAAAATATATATGTGCCATCTACTGCTTATGTCTACTATCCTATACTATATTTGGTAAATTCTCATTGGCTGGAGGCTCTTCTCTTTTGCGCCCTCTAAGCTGAGCTTGCCAGCTCCATAAGACATGAAAAGTGTTAGTCATAACATCAACAGTATTAATAGTGGGGAGGGTGTATTGTGCTAGTTTTTGAATGTATTCTTCTCCACTGTTCCTATAGCACTGTATTCTATGTCCTAATTGTTTATATACACACGCAAATGAATGATTTCAGTCAGTAACGTGATGGCTGCCATCAATGGCATGTTACCTCACGTGAGCTCCTTGAATCTGCATATATTGCCATAGAAAGTTTTTCTTAAATACATTGGCGCTCAAAAAGATACTATACATGAAGCTCTGAGTGAAAACTTAAATAATGACTCTGATATTAAAGAACACTTACGTTGTTCTGATCATTATAATACAGAAAGAAATAAAATTAATGGTCCTGCACCAATGAAAAGAGATTGTTTAATGGGAAATCTGAAAACGACTGCAGATACTAGTGACAAAAGAAAATTTATAGTCGATGTTCAAGGTTACCAAATTAACAAAAATAACTTGATTTTCAAAGAGGTAGCCATATTGAACATGAAGACCAATGTGAAACCATTAGTATTTCTTTCCAAGCCTCCTTATCCATAGATATTTTTATCTAAGACAAACATTTACCAAGTATCATGGTTGGAAACTAACTTTTATGGAATACTTTGGAGATCGGGAAAAACATCTTATGATAAAGTGCAGCATACAATACAATCAGTCATCAACATGAGTGATGAGGTATATGTTGAGGGATTAGAAAAAACTAAGTGATTGGCTAGAATTTTGCCTGGATGGTAAGTTTTCAAGTTTTAGACTGGCAAACAAATCATTAAACCAACAAAATTGGTTTTCAGCTTAGTTTATAATCTCGAAGATTTTGGGTGCCCAGCGCGAAACACTTTGTATGATGGATCAATATTTTGTGCTAATCATAAAGCATGCAACTGTATGCTGGCCCAATAAATTGCTTACTATTTAAATTGAAGTGCATTTTTAGTTTAAATAAGAAAGTATTTTAAAAAAATTTTGTCTCTTTTTCATTAAACTTAAAACATATTTTGTTTTTAAGTTTAGTTTACAAAATTTGAATTATATGGTTAATCTTAAGAATATAAGTTAATTATTTTGACTAAAAAAATAATAAAGATACTTATTAAGCATTACTATCCTAATAAAGTATTCATACCAACTGAGGATCCCGAAGGTCTTAAATCTTATTAATCTTAAATGAAAACAAAGTATGCATGAGTAATTAGTAAAAGTAAATATCTTTTAAACAAAATACTTTGTAAATATTTCTTTATTAATAAAATCACGATCAAATATATACAATATGTATTTTTATATATTTAGAATGATTTTGACGAAAAGAGTAATAAGAACAGTTTTAAAACACAACTGAAAGAATTTATTAAAATAATTTAATAATTACTTTGAAAACCATATATAAAGATGATGATGATGATGATGACGTTGATTACTATTATTGTGATCCACTTATTCGAATATTTAAATGCAGAGACTGCATAACCACCCATTTAAACCGTGATAATACCACTATCGTCCTTCTTTTCAATTTTGATTATAATATTTGAGCTGACACAACAAACATTTTTCCTTGCGCGAGATTTTTTTTTTAAAAGTTCAATCATCATTGGCTTCATTATCGTTTGTAATGAAAATTACTGTGCACTTTCTTCGTCTTCCAAAAAACTAAAACCATTAAATGTTTCGTCAGAGTCAGAATCAGTGACACTTTTTTGTTTTAATACTGATTTGCTGTTACTGCCACTATTATGATAATCTTTGTTATCACTAACATAAATTGTGGTATCGACTGGTCCACAGTACCAGTCTGATAAATCACCTACTAAAACTAGAGATTTAAAATGAGCACAAACATCACTATCATTAACACTATCTTTAACCACATTCCTTTTTTTCAAAGAAAGCTCATGATTAAATGCTAAATACCTACATTTTTATGGTAGTAAGATAACTGACACACCGCCAACTAAAATAAGAGAGTCACCTTCGCTCACATCGTTATTATCACTGTCATGATTATCATAATTTAATTTATTTGTTTTATTTGGTAAGCCACTCATTGAAATACTAGGTTCACGATCGTTTCTTCTTTTTTTTAAATTTTCATCTTTATTAACACAAATAATCATTATCATCGTTTGCATTTTTATCGTTATTAACACTATCATAATCATCATCGTTTACATTTTCATCGTTATCAACACTATCATCATGATCATCGTTTACATTTTCTTCGGTTTTAATGTTATTCGTATTACTATCACTTTTGGCACCATTACCACTCACAATTATTTTTTTTCTTAGAAAAACTCATCATCTTTTTCATAGTCCTTATATTTAAGTAGTAATACAATTTTTGGTTTCTCAACTACTGATAACACTCGTGGTTTGCCGGGCGCATAACGCACACTGGTATCTGAAACGAATAGTTTTCGTGTTGCCACTTGTACTAAGCAAGGTATTTTAAGCATATTTAAATTTACAATTTAAAAACGTGAACAAAAATCTTTTCGATGGCTCACTCACGTTTTTTTCGAAGTTTGTAACATCCGAACGTAGCAAATTATCTGCCTTCTGCAAAGGAATCATACCCCTTATATTATCTTCCTTATGCCTTAACTCTGCATGTATGTTTGGATTTTGGGGATTTGTGAAAGCTGCATAAGAGTTTATTTTTTTATATGTATAGGTTACATTAACCATGAAGATGAGAAGTGTACAAGATATTTAATCATTATATTTCATACATCATTAAGATTACTTTACTCATGACTTTATTCTTGGTACATGTTTTGAGGATATATGAGAGCTACATGCTACAGAGATTTATTTCTTATATGTATCGGGTACCATCTCTTTCGAGTAACGTATGCGTGCTATAGACAACTTTCGTCAACGATAGTGTGCATAAATTAACAAGTGAGTGAATCACGGCCACACCGGTGAGATCAAAAGTATGATATTACATTACACTTGATATCTGCGTTTGTGGCTCGATATTCTCTCCAGCAGAATCCATCGTAAATAGAGCCATATTACGCAGCTCATCCATATATGCATTGTGGAGCAAGACGCATCGAGTTAAGCACGGTCCGGCGCTAGTAGGTATGCCTGACTGGCTCCATAGGGAAATATGAAGCCAGAGTGGCTCCGTATCCGTAGGAAGATACGAGGCCACAGTGGCTTCATATCCTAGGAGGATACGAGGCCACAGTGGCTCCGTATCTGTAGGGGGATACGAGGCCACAGTGGCTTCGTATTCTAGGGGGATATGAGGCCAGGGGCTACCTGGCCTCGTACCCCCCTAGCTATACTACTGATGTTTATTTTGGTGGTTGAACTGAGTAGGGACAAAAAAAAAGTATTTTGGTAACGTTTGGTACCAGAGATTCAGGAGTCGTTGAAATAAAGGTCATGGATATGGTCTTGTAAACGTACTAAGCCTGATTTAATACTGGTGGGCGAGTGTGTTGAGTATGTTAAATAGTTTTTAAAGTATCGTAGACATTCATAGATTTTGAAATGGTATACTTAATTTCCACGAGTCAGGTGTGCTGTTAATAAACGTTTGTAATGCTTGTTTTTCAATTTGTCATTTTTTTGTCGTCTGGAGTTTGTAATCATTCAATTTAATTAAAAGGGCTGTTGAGGTAGGTTCTGTTAAAAAAACTTATTTTATGATAAAAATTTTGAGCTATTTTGATTTGTTTAATTGCAGTACTCGCAAGTTTGGCCATGTATTCATATTACGATTTGGTTGGCAAATATTCTTGTTTAAGATGTCTCC